TTTGTAAAAGCTGAAATTTCAGCAAACTTTCAAAAGGTATTTCGATCCTACTACCTTGTTGTTCGAGTTTTTAAATTCTGTTAAGACTGCTTTCTTGCTTGCATCACCATTGGAGAAACATTCTTATATTATTTAAGGACAAAAAATGATACTAGCTTATGTCAAGTGTTACGTGCTTTTAAAAATTTCATCAAAATATATTATGAACATGTTATTTTAATTTTTTTTTGTTTTGTATATTTGAATGAAAAAAATTCCCCTCTACATTTATTTACCCTTTTTTGTCAGAATATGGTGTTTCATCAGCAGGATTGCCATCTCATGAAGTTGAAAAAGCGGAAACCAATATTTTTACTGACTTTTTGAATTTTGTATAGTTTTATGATGTACAGCGTACGTTTGAAGACTTCGACGATCGATTTTCAACCGTATCTATGTCTTGTTTTCGTGAATAACAATAAGAAATAAACAAATGTGTAATAGGCTTACAACCAAGTTTAATGATAAGATACGCTATTGCAAACAGTTCGATAACAAGAGTACAGAAGAGCAATGTATGAAAAGCAAGTTCGGCGACACGAATGATCAGATATTGATTGTTTTGAAGAAAAATGACTGTTCACTAAATGTGAACGTCAATGTTGTTCGTGGAGATGCATAACGAAGATAGTAGCCATCTTGTTTATAGATCATATCATCCAAAAGTGAACTCTCTTCAAATGTCAGTGTCCAACGGCCATCATAGCGTGATTCATCGTCAACTTTAAGTGGATTAGTTTGATTGACAACTTTGATGAGTATGACAGAAAGTGTTGCTATACGTGACACTGTTTGATTTGGCGTCCAGAAAAATTGACATAGATCAAGTTTGTGTACTGTATTCACACCATCAACACAATAAGGACCACGAAGACACAGACGAAATCCACCAACAAAGTAAGGTCCAGTAATACTAAGCTGTACATTTATACGATGTGCTGGTAAAATGATGCTAACAGATCGTGTAATATTGTCCGGCTGGAGAATACAATTACCTTCAGTGATAGGCATGTGTAAATACTTGACACCTGGCCTATTCTGCTGAAAATTAATATTCGAACAACTGGCTTGTGTATTTACTAGATCAACGGTCGTTGTAAACGGTTGTATGTCAAGCATATCAAAAATAGCCCATCAGCTTCCATCTGGATTTGGTAGTGGTAATTGTAGAGCATTGTCAAATATGCCATTACGCATTGTCTTGTCACACGAGGCACGAATTTCACCTGCCGTTTCACTTGGATACAATTTGATATATTCAGTTGAGAACCAGAAAACAAAGTCGAAGACAACAAGAATTGCAAATGAAAAGATTCCATCTATCCATCGTTCACCGTCGTTTACAATGTCTGTGTTTTTAAAGAACTGTTTTACTCGATTTCGGTGATCACTTGCTCTTCGACATTTATTCATTTTCAATACAACCATGATGAGCCAAATAATGAAACATAAGATAATGGCTAGTATTGCCAAAAATTCAGGTGCAATGATGAGGCAATGAATTGTATGACCAATAGTGAACATATTTTGTACGAGAATATCATCATAATTGTTCATGTCGGGTGAGTCTAGATAAGCGAATGTTTGCGTATATGATGGATACGTATCGAGTGAAACAGTATCGTTTACAGATCCCATCGGACAGAATGCAGTGGATGAACATGGGCTACACTCAACACATGGACCATTCATTGGATTCTTTGTTTGCGGTGGACATACAATACATGGTCCTACATTTGAAAAATTTCTGTATGTACCAGCTATACATAGTGCCTCTTCAAAGACTACTATACGGTCTGAATTATCACTTCCTACAGAATAGAGACCGGGTGCTTTCGATAATACCAGTATTGCTCGAGCTTGATCGGTCAGTATATACAAGTTTCCCGACCAGGAAAGCGTATGACGAAAAACAGGCGGTGATGACATTGTTATTCTTTGCTGATTATTTGGAAAGATAAAGAGAGGTATAGTGAATGGAAGATTCACATCGAATATCCATACTTCGGATTGAGACCAAGGTCGATCGGCAACATTGAGAAAGGAAATGGCCACTGTTTCATTATCGAGCCAAGCTACTGAACGACCAAAACCAATGTTATGTTGAGATAGTTCATCGACATGTGTCAAGTAAAGCTGTAAATTGTTATCGGTCGAATCAGAAGAACTGATATTTAATAAAAAGACTCTGTCAAACAGCAGCACCTCCACGATAGCCATTCTATGTGTTGGACTGATAGCTATTGACATGTCATTAGCTTGATTGTAGTTAGTAGCTTCATCTAAACTTTGTTCGTCGCCGTTATTGAGATCAATAACGTCTATGAAAGCCAACGGCTGCAGGTTGAAGAGCATAGCAGTATAGAGAGGTAAAGCTTTTGTAAAGGACATAATCAAAAATTCGACAACAATTCCCCATGAATCAATGACATCCAACGCGTGTGCTATAATTGGAGCAAACGTGAACACATCAGTATTATTAATGAGTTGATCAATTTTCTTATTAATAATATCGAATGAAGGAATGAACGCATCGGCAAAAACGTATGCGTATTGTTGGGAGAGACTAACTTTAAGAAACATGTATTGTTGATGTGTTTCAGACCAGATTTGTGTATTAGAAATATTCAAAACAATTTCTGTCGATGATTCTAACAAAGAATATCAAATATAAAATTATCGCAGATTGACTAATGATCTCTTTCTTGTCGAATAACTAGTATATTTCAAGCTGACTCTTTTAACCACTACAAAATAATTGGTTGCTTAATTATTTTAGTTGATTTTGATTCTTTTTTAGTTTAGGGATGAATAATTTGGTACACTTGCCAATTATTTTAGTACTTATTTGTGTATACGAGAATGTATTAGAAGGAAATGAGACTATAGTGATTCGGCATCAAATAAGAACATCATTTCGATCTATCCCAATTACTTTATAGGAATCATGAATATTTCAGTCAGTTTGCTTTCTCTAAATAACTTTGCACAGTTCGAGTACGTGGAAAAGCATTACATTCACATTAGACATACCACATAGTGTTTTGTTCACCATGATGATACTAAAGAATACATCCGATGTTCTTATATTTTCAGCTATTTGCATAATTGTATAGAGATCGGAAATGTCAGTATCCTTGTTGAGCACCATTGCTCAGTGTTTTATCTAGCGGGGGGTTTTGGGACATTTTGCCCCCCCCGGGAACCGGTTTTGCCCCCCCGAGAAAAAATAAATAAGTGTTAAAAAATATCAATCTAATCCTTAAGAATTTCTTATGAAAATTCTAGGAGATATTGTGACTAAATATATAACTGTTGACAGGAAAGATTTATCATAGTTTTAGAATATAACATATCTATTGCTTCCTATGATTTTCAATTTGATTGAAAATGTTTCTTATCACATCATTGCTCATAATATGATGAGAATATGTATTTTTCTTCTCTTCCTTTTCAGCATTCATATGAAGATAACGTCGCATAGGATAGTTTCTATTGAATGAATAATACTGTACATGTAAATAAGCGAATGTATGTAATTTAATTACGAATTAACCCTTTGGGGACGGATTTTTTTTCTGTACATTTCATCATAAATCAATCAACATTTCTATTTTCTAAAAGAACCTATTATCCATTACTGGATATCTGAATAAAATAACCTAATTACAATCCAAATTATACCAAAAAACTCTCTGATAAATGCTTTCATAACTAATCTCATATAGGAATCTGTGTGTTTTGAAATGCAAGAGAATCACCATGGCCCCTGAAGGGGCCAACCGTCCCCAAAGGGTTAAACAACATAACATTGTGTACTATACGCATTAGATTAATCTAATAAGAATGTTTAGCTGAATTTGTTAGGTCTATATTACATTGATTGACTTCAAAAGATCAGAAATGTTTCAAATGAACACACCTATATATCTTTTTTTCATTTATTCATTCACACTACAGTATCGTATTTTTGTACTTTTCTTTTCCATCTCCTCTTTCAAATCAAATAGCGATTATAAACTCATCTTGAGAATGTCAAAACAAAGTTCTCTCAATAAATATTTTGGAAAAACAAAAGAAAATAATGATGTTGATAAGTTAGCAAAAAGGAGTCGTATTGAAAATCAAAATATCATTACTCAATCAAACACTATTGCAAATAACTCGTGCGACTGGAAAAAACTAAAACCGCGTCGATTAGCTGTTTGAGTTATACGATATGGCTTTTCACATTGTTTTTATAATTTTCTACCTTTTCTTTTGGTGTATTTATTGCTATTTATTCGTTGTACATGTTATACATATTTTTCAATTAAATGAAATAATGGAGTTGTGCATTTTATAACTTAAAGAACGCGATCTGTTGAAAATGTACATATTACGACTCGACAACATTGATTTTAGCTACTTGCTTACAAACCTATGTCTGCCCCCTCGACAACTAATTTTGCCCTCCCGGAGCAAAAAACCTGGATAAAACACTGCCATTGCTGTACTATAGACATAGGTGTAGACATCCGGATAATAAGCGGTGGATCAGGAATAAATCGTAAATGGGGCAAAACTAATTATGTAGGAATAATGATCATTGTATGGAAAAATGACAAATTGATCATTGCCTGAAATTCGTACACCATGTGCACCATCATCATCATATTCATAGAGCTCTTGACATTCGACGAAAGTCAATGACAACAACACTATTGATACAATCCATAACACAAGCAAAGTCTTTTGCATCTCTAACCGTTGAATCTAAATACATATGACACAAGTTACTTATTGAGTATCTAAGAATGAACAATTTCAATAGAAATTATGGATATTTTTACTCATAAAGTAAACGCGGTAGCAATCATCTTACCTTTCGTATATTTGTAATCTTGCCTTCAGAAATATTGATTGAGTGGTACAACATATTCAAATGCATAATGCTCAAGCTTGGTGACAATTTCAATTTCTGATTCATCATTTGACAAAGATATATTCATGAATATATAGAGTTATTTATTTTGACAGTATGACGTCTATAATTTTTTCGAATAATAACTATATTTTGTAACATGAATAGAATCAATAATTAGTAGGTAATTTAGACTTTATACAAAGTAATATTAATAAAAATAAATAGCTCTTTTAGAAAGAAAACGATTCGAACGACCTACATCATATAATCAAACAACATAGAAGAGTATGAAAAGAAAAGAAAATGAATTGATTCCTTGTTTGTTCGTATAGAAAATGGATCATATATAGACTTTCTTCAAAAAATATTTCGACACCTACAATTTTTATTGTGCAAAAGTTATTTTGAACAAAAAAAAATGGTTAAATATCAACCCGATGATTTGCCATTCGATAGTTTGAAGTCTTTTCTATCATCGACACAAAAAAGTCCAATATTTCTAGTTATGATTCAAAGATTTATTGTTATTTTATTCTAAAATCTCCTTTTTCAATATTTAAAATTTGTTATAATATAGAAAAAGTATCATTATTTCTCAAATAACTTTCCATAGAAACAAGATAGAGTCTTAAGATTTTTACCGTTGGAAAGAAAAGATGAAGGCTTATTGATTCATCTATCTTAGACTTTTTTTACGAATTTTTTTTTTCAAAAATCCAAATTTTCAGACGTGTCGACAGGACAATAATTATCTTTTCAGAATGCATCTATGGAAAGTTATTCGAAAATAGTCATACGTTTTGTATATCATAACAAATTTTAAACCTTAAAAATACCGAAGTTTTCGAGCAAAAGTAAAAATGTTTGAATCATAACTAACTAGAAATATTTCATTATCATCTTCATGATAGAAAACATTTCGAATATATCGAATAATAAATCATCAAGTTGATATAAAATGATTTGCTTTTGTTTTGTTTTTTTTGTTCAAAATATCTTCTGCATAGTAAAAGTCGTAGATGTTAACATAGTTTACGATTGAGGAATATTTGCCATTTGTCACAGATGAGTCGCTATCGGTCAACTAACAAAGAAATGAGTTAACTCACTTCATTAGTTTTATCAACTTCATCTTCAGATTTAAACCTATTTTTAACCTATGATTTACTCACAAGTATATACAAGCAGATCTTATCATCTTTCATTTTCGTGTCTTCTTTTCTATTTTATCATTTTTTCCTTATTACATTACATCATATGTATTTTCTATTCTGTTACACCATCATATCTATTATCCCTTTTCTCTTTCTCTCTTAGATGTTATTTTATACGCGCTAGGATATTACCATATCCAGGGGTGGCGCGACCGGGGGGTAGTCGGGGGTGCGACACCCCCCCAGTCTTCAAAAATTTCTGTTTTTTTGCTCAACAAAATCAGGAAATTTTCTTCCATTTGTCACCAAAAACAATGTTACACCCCCCGAAAAATTGCAGACTTCGTCTTTCTAGTCCAAAAAATGTCGCTACACCCCCCCAATGTTGGTTGACTCGCGCCGCCCCTGACCATATCCAACACATTATTCATTTATTTATATATAATTCATCATTTTTTAGAATAAACGAATGTATGTGTATCAATCACATTCATCTTTCTCTATAATTCAGTTGAAGCAATAAGATTTGTGCATGGACCAAATTGACCAACTACATTCTTATCCTCATCCTTACTCTCAATCTTCGTCTTAAACTAGAAATTCTATTTCTATTATTAGTTTTTTAAATCAATATCTATATTATAAAGCGAACATTGATTATATTTCTATTTTATCTTTTCAGTAAAAAAAAAAATTGCCAAATATATATAGGAGCGAATATAGATACCGAGGTATATATTATAAACTATAAAAAAGTATAGACAAGTATAGAAAACTATACGAAGAACTAGAAAAACTATGGATATATATCGAGAACTATAATAAAAACGTATATCTTTTTCTGGAACTGAGATATTTAACAATGGAACTCGTCATTAAATATCGAAGATTCAAAAGCTAGATGCATTATTGACAAGGGTATCTTAGAAGTTGTCAACAAATTTTTAAATTTATCGTTTGTCTATAGAAGAAGAATAACTTTTTTAAAAACTCGTGAATTACCCTACAGATTTCTTCCTACTAAATAAATATTAACTAGAATCTTTCAGCTTATTAGTTTATACCATGAAAAAACAAATCTAATCAATATAATTATATTGAATTTGATTAGTTTTTAACTTATTTCAACAAATAAAATATTATATAAAACTATTCATCCTTATCTTTATTCGAGTTGTCACTTAGATAAATCTCTACTAAAATAGAAAATTGATCCGTTTACATATATATATATTGTATATGATAGATGTTATCTTAATGCACGATTTAAATTGTTGATATATATGTTAAATCCATTCGAACTGTGATAAGATAAATAAAAGCAAAATAATTGAATTATCTAATGAAATAAAAGTTTGAAGATGATGATCATTTTCAAGGATAGAATCAATCTACCTTTGGATACTCTCAAATATATATTTGTTGATCGAGTTATTCTAGAAAATTCTACTTGAAAATTTGTAGATGTTTACTCTGAATAACGATATACTTTCGATAATATATATCTCAAAAAAAAAAAAAAAAAAAATCTTCATCCATCTAGAGTTTTTATTTAAAATAAATTCGAATGTTATAGAAAATGAAATTAGTAAAAGTTAAAACATAACCAAACTATTATTAATCGTCAAACGATTTGATAATTTCTAAAAAAATTTTCAATTTCGATTTAACTAGAATTTCAAACCAATTTTTCGAAACAAAATTTTTTTCGAACAAATTCAAAAATCAAAAATAAATTAAAAAGATGTTTGAAATCAATTCCAATTTCATAGGAAATTATTTTTTATTTTAAAAAAACAAGAGAAAAATCAATATTACTCTTTGAAAAAGCATTTAAACAATCGAACTAGAGAATCATTCTTTACTCATATACAACTCAATTGATCATCTCAACAGTTTTTTTATTTTTGTTTTCTACTAGTTCCAACCATTATGTCAATGAGATAAACTCGATATAATGCATACTAGTCTTTTCTATAACAACGAAAACAAGTAACAACTTATTTATTATTGATCATTAGAAATAGAATATAGAATTGTTTTTTTCTCAATAATAGTTACGATATTTGTCAATATTTTTCTTCTTTTTTAACTAAACTCTCTTTCTCACATACCGTTTATTCATTGAAAATTGATTATTCATTTTGAGAGATATATTTTATTTATATTATTAATAATAATGATAAATAATGACGAGTACACCTTCTTCATCCTTTCATTACTAATCATTTTTTCAACAAATAGAAAACTAGAGAACATCAAACATACAATAAATTATTACAGAGGATGGAGAGTAATAGACAAATTGACAACCGAACAGTTCCTATCCTAACAAGACGATTGAGAAAGAGAAATTAAAAAAAAAAAAAAGAACCGCCCTTAATAACAAATAAACTAATATGAGAAGTTTGGTCATAAATGTTTGACGTTAACAATAAAATCATTAATCAGGTTGATTTATTCTAAAGATAATAACTGATAATTGATATTCAATTTTATAAAAAATTCTCGAAATGATAAATCGAATTTGACATTCGAGATATCGTCCATAGAAATATTATCACAATTTTCTAACTTCAATATCGATATTTCAATTTCGAACATTGTTCAATAGAATTTTTTCAATAAAATTCAAATAGGAATTCAAATTATATCCATTTCTCTTTTCTCTTTTCTCTTTTCTCTTTTTTGTTTCAGTCTAGAAATTTATTTCTCTAGATCGAACTACCATTTTTTTCTCGGAACTAGGTCGAACTGTATCGTGCAGTTCGATCCTAATCAAATATATTAACTATCTTTCTATTTTACTCTCTTATCTTCAGATTTTAAACAAAATTCTCAATAGTCAATTGTTTTCACCTCTAAAAAGTGTTATATATTCTCTTCGTTAATATCCAAGATTGTCAATAAATGGTTTATTTAGTAAATTATTTATTAGTTTACAATTGAGAATCGTTGAATAATAATAAATAATATTGATAAGAATTCTATTCTAATGATTGTTGACGAAGATTGTTTATTATATTGAAGATGTTTAGATAAATAAAAGAATTTATATTCAATAAAATAAAATAAAATAAAATTTAAATTTTGTTTATTTCGTTTAAATAGATATATATTTAATTAATTAATATATTATAAAAATATAAAATAAAATCTAATATTTAAATTCAATTTAAATAAATATATTTCTGTAATAGATTCTAAACGAATATTATTTATTAACTTAATAAAACATCAACTTTTCATTATAATTAATAATGATTATATTTTTAAATTTAATTCAAATTTTATAAATTAGCTTGAAATGTTTTTTTTTTCATAAATATATTAAATGATAATTAAGAATTTTTCCATATATATTGATATAATTTATAAATTTCATTTATTTTTTTCAATATTATCTTGAAACGTTTTTTTTTTCATATTATAAAAAGTTTTATTTTGAAAACTAATTTCATTTATTTAAATATAATTATAGAATATTTTATTCGAATAAATAAATCTTTGAAAATATCTTTATTAAATAAAATAATTCTTTAATAAAAAAAATATTTGAAAATTATTCATTTTTTTCTAAGGTTTTTAAAAAGAAATTGTTTTTTTTCAATATCTACTAATTTTAAAACATATTTTTTTAATATCCGAACTTAGCTCAGCTGGCAGAGCGGTAGGCTGTAATGGATATTTATCGTAGGAACCTATAGGTCCCCAGTTCAAATCTGGGAGTTCGGATTCACTTTTTTTTCTTTATTTACAATTAAATATTTTTACAAATTTTTTTTTTTCTATAAAATAAAAACAAAAATAGAATCGATTTGATAAAAAAACATCAAACAAATCTATTTAAATGAGATGATCAAATCAATTTATTTTAGTTAAATATTTATTCTTTTCCTGGTTTGTTTTTTTTTCATATAAGAATATATTTTATTGATATTATAATTAACGAAACGATTTCAAATTTCTACCATCGTATATAATCAGATAGAAAATAATATTCAAGATAAAAATAAGGAGTTTTTCATTTATATTGATATATAATATATATTATTGAAAATAAAAAGATAAATTCTTTTAGTTGAATTGAATAATAATATAATCCTATAGGATAACGATATATTATTATATTATTAACAATTATATTGAGAATATTTATCGAAAGATTTTCCAATTCTAAAACAAATAATTATTTATTCTAGTTTAATATTGAAAAAAAAAATCTTCAATATTTGATTTATTTGTAAATATAATTTAAAATAAATTAAAATTCTATTTAATAAAATGAATTATTTTCTTAATAAATATTGTTAATAATAATATTTATTTATTATAAAAGAAATCAATTTGAATAAAGAATTTTATTTGAAATATTTATGCTAGATATATAAAGAGAATTTTCTTATTTAAAGATATATTCATATTAAAATAAAAGAAAAGAAAAGAAAAGAAAAGAAAAGATAAAATAAAGTCAAATAAATAAAAAAAAAAAAGAAAAAGAAACTCGATTTATTTTTGTTGAATAATAGCCTTGCATTCTTCAACATCTCTTTCATCACAAATAGCAACTGCATCTTTTCCTTCATTATTTTTAATTGTTAAATCTCCATTAGCTGATAGAAGTGTTTTAAGAATTCGAGGTTTATTGAAAAAACAAGCAACCATTAATGGAGTATTTCCTCGTTGATCTTTACTATTGACATCTAAACCAGCTTTTATCAATAATTCAACACATTCAGAAGTATCAATCATTCCTAAAAAATAAATCGAAATTTATTTTCATTTTTTTTTTTTATATAAAAACAAACCAGCAGCAGCAAAATGTAAAATAGTTCCACCATTATCATTTCTAACATCAGTTTTTGTTTTTGAATAATCAAGTAATTTTTTCAAAATTTTTTCTCGATTTTGTCTTGCAGCAATACTAACTGCTCTTTCACCCATAAAAACAATATTTGGATCTACATTAGCTTCAATTAATGCATCCAAACAATCAGGACGATCATTTATTGCAACTCTATTTAACAAAAGAGAATTTTTTTATTATTATTATTTTAAATATTTTTTTTCTTTTATATCAAACTTGTGAATAGGTGCTAATTGATGTTTATCAATATGATTAACATCACCACCTTTTTTAACCAAATTTCTAATAAGTTGGGCACGTTGACTTTCTGTTATTGTTTGTCCTTTATATGGACCATCAACAAGAACATGAATTGCTGTTAAATTATGTTCACTTTCACATTGATTTGGATCAGCACCATTCTATTTATTCAATATATATATAAATAAAATTAAAAAAAAAAAATGAAACTTTACATCAATTAAATATTGAATTGTATCATAATCTCCTTCAAAACATGCTATTATTAATGGAGTTACTTTAGCTCGAGCTTCTCCTGTTTTATCATCATATATATCAATTAAACCAGAGGCCGAACCTTTACTAACTGCTTCTTTTAATTTTGATAATTTTTCTTGAACATTTGAATTTGATCGATCCATTGTCCATAATGCTTTTAAACGATCATCATGTTTATCATAAAATGGATGATTTTGACGACTGAACGTTTTTTTATTTTAAAAAATAATAAAATTATTTCTAATATCGTTTTTTTTATATTAAATTATAAAACTAACCTCATTTTATTGACTAAAAACGTTTGTTTTTATAAATATATATTTGAATAATTTTAGTTATATCTATACCTTTATATATATTGCAAAAATAATCAAACAAAAACAAAATCGTTGTTGCATGACATTTATTTTATAGATAACAAGGTAAACGACGCATTTATTCATGATGAATCGTCTTGCCGTATTTTTTCTCTTATTTTTCTCGATGTTTTCGAAATTAGTCATTTATGACAATATATTCATAGTTATTTATTATTTATTGACTTTACCTTGAACGAATTTCTAAATGTATGATTATTATATTGAGATAAACAAGAAAAAAATCCCATTTAACAATTGAATATAATTCTATTCATAGAATATTATCTAAGATGATTTTTTTATTATTATTCACAATATTATTCATAATTATTAACCATTTAAATACATCACTATTTTATTCTATTTTTATCCTTACAGATTTAATCAATCACTTCATTTTTTTAATTCGATTTTAGATTTAAAACTTTTTTTAAATAATAAATTTCGAATATTTATTTTCTTTTTATTATAGAAATAAATAAAACATTTTTCTAGATAAATCGAATATCTAAATAGACAATTTATTAAATATAATTGACAAAAAATCTCTATTCTATAGATTTATTTTCAATAGAATCATTCATCGAACATTTTCACTCTTTTTTTTCTTATTTAAACATAAAAATACAAAACAAGACTTTTTTTTTTATTGAAAATTCCATAATAAAATATTTAAATATTCTCTAATAATGATTATATAATTAACAATATTTAAATAATCAAAATATTTTCACTATTGAATATATTCATTTCTATATATCGAGATCTCTTATATTCGAATTATATATATCAATCAGACATATAACAATAATAATTCAAATAATGATGATCAACAATATAATTAGTTAACAGAGTTTATATCATAATTATATTTATCGATATTCTAGAAGAATAATAAATAAATAATTTTATTTCTTTCTATTATATGACGATAATAGACTGATTGACCTTAGGGATAATTCTATCTATCTCCATTTTCTAACTAAAGATAAATAAATAATTAAACAATTCTATAGATTGTTGAATAGTTAATAGATTATTATTATAATAAACAGTTTTAGAGAATATATTTATCCTTTTATTATTATTTATTTTATTTATCTTCGAAAAAATAATTCTAAATAATTCTATTGATAATCTATCGTCATATATAGAAATGAATATACATATATATATAAGATATGAAAAAGACAAACAATAATATAAGTTATTAAAAAAAAAAGCAAAACATTCGAACATATTTTAAATCGAACGTTTTTCTATTTAAAATATTGAAAGTTGAAAGATGAAATAACTAAAATGAATATCCTACTATTAATTAGTGGATATTATCAATAAACAATCGAGTTTATTATAGATATAGGTTCCTGAAAAAAACAAAAGAAAAATGATTCTTCAATCTCTAATAGATCTTTTCTTTTTTATTTCGAAGAGGTTTAAATGCATCCTTATTATTTCTAAGGGATTAGTTTTTTCAACTAAAAATCTAACTTAAAGATAATATTTTATAGAAATTATTCTTCTTCAGATAAACATCTTTTGTTAGATTTAAAATTGATTTTCTTTTTTTTAAAATCTATTCTTCCTGATGAATTTTATAATAATATGAATCTATTCATTTATCCATAAAAGGTTTACTTTATTCTAAAGATTTCAATATCTCATTATCAATTGTTCGAAACGTCAAATTAAGATTAAAGATAATAAGATTATCTATTTTACTCAAATAAAATGTTTAACTCTATATTATATATGTTCAACATTCTATAATAAGTTAACCTCGATTTTATCTATTTATTAACGAACATATTTTGAAATTTTTCGAAAAAAAAAAATGAATTTATTGGATAGGTTAAATAGAGTAATAAATATCAATAAATAGAGATTCATTTTTAAATAAGAATATTTATCGTCAATAATCAGTTTGAAATAAATCCATTTAAACTCTAAAATGAAGATTTTGAAAATATTTTTTCATTTATTTTATTCAATTATCCATTGAGATAAAAAAAAAAACTATTGAAAAATGAAAAGGATAAAAGAATTGTAAAGAGTAGATTTATTTATAAATTTGTATTAATTAATATAAGAATAAATAAAACAAGTTTTATCATTGAATATCAATTCAATTCGACAACTCTCAAATAATTCAAATAAAATATTTATTCGATAGATAGATATCAATTTATTTTCGAACAAAACACAAAAAAAAAGAAAAAATTTTTTCTTTTTCGACTTATTTACTTTGATATAGATTTAAACAAAATATAATTTCGATTAAATATTTATTAAATATATTATATTCAGAGAGAATTTATTCATTTTACAGTTTATTATATTTATTAAATTCAATTTATTAACAATAACAAACAAAAGAATTTTTCAATTGATTTTAATTATCTTAATCAATATTTTTCGAAGATTTTAAAAATCTAATAGATAATATAGAATGAAATATTTTATTATCAATAAAAAAATCTTCTTTCGAAAGAGATTTGAAATTGTTTCGAAAATGAATTTTATTAATTAAATATATTATATTCAGTTGAAAGAATTTTACTTTTTAAATAAATATTACTTTTATAAAATGAATCATATAAGATAATAAAATCTTTTTTCTTTTCTATTTTATTTTAAATAAATCGATCATCGAGAATAAATTGACGATAAATCAAGGTGGATTTATCTCCTATCCTAACGATATTTAACTTATATTCTATATGATACTAACATATACAAACATTGTTTTTAACTTATCTAATAGTTATAAAAACGAATAAATATTGTTGTTGTGAAGTTTGATTTGGTCTATTCAATAGGAAATATTGTTTGTTTTTTAATCCTTTGGGGACGGTTGGCCCCTTCAGGGGCCATGGTGATTCTCTAGCATTTCAAAACACACAGATTTCTATATGAGATTAGTTTTCGTGAAAGCATTTTATCAGAGAGTTTTTTGATATAATTTGGATTGTAATTAGGTTATTTTATTCAGATATCCAGTAATGGATAATAAGTTCTTTTAGAATATAGAAATGTTGATTGATTTATGATGAAATATACAAAAAAAAAACCCGTCCCCAAAGGGTTAATAAATAATATTTTATTTCGAAATTAAATTTATTTTATAGATCATCTTTATTAACAGATTTTTCTGTTTTATATTGATAAAATAAAAAAAAAAGAATGGTTAGAAAAATGAAAGGTCTAATAATAAAATTAATCGTTGATTATTTATTTTAATTATATTATATAAATAATTTAAGAATTTTTTTATTTTATTTATATTAGAATTATTCATTGATAGTTTTATTAATGAGAAAAATTTTTTTTAAAAATAATTCAAAGTAAGATTGAACAAAAAAAACCAATTTCAATATTTGAAATAAAATAAATTGATTTTATAAAATCTTTGATAAATATTTTAAAATGATTTGTTTTTTTGATATAATAAATTGTTTAAAAAGAAAATGAATATATTCAATTTATAAAATGAGAATTATTTAACAATAAAAATCAATTCTCAATCTTTTTTATTTTCAAATATTTTAATAAAATTTAAATTATTTCAAACGAGTCGAAATCATTTCATTTAAATCAATTTATCAAATTTATTTTATTGATAAATATCTTTCATACACAAATATATTTCATTTTGACTCCAATTCTATAGAATTATCTTAAGATTGATACTAATTTGAATTGTCTAACTTTATTCGATTGATATTTATCTTTGTTGATAATGAGAATATTATTTAAGAGAGATTTATCTAGATAATAGACCAATTCGTCTAAACATTTTATTTAAATATTCATCTTTGATATTTTCTTTTAAAGGTCATTCTGTCTATATAGAAAAATAAATATATTAGGATAATATATCAATCTAGTTTCGAACAAATAAAGGACAAAAGTTAACCACACTTATCGAACCTATTCAAATTCAATTAGTTTTTTAGGTTTTATTCTCAACCTTAGATTTTTGTTAAAATTCAACCAAATTTGTAAGTATTATAAATGAATTCGATAACACCGAATCTGATCTAGAATATCTTATATAGGGACCTTTAAAATAGCCTCCTTTATTTAGGAAAAAAAATCAAAATAGAAATATTCAATAGAAATTATCAAATTAAATTCTTCGAGCTATTTTCAGTAAAGTGATACTTTTTTCCAAGGATCACAGAAAAATAAGATAATTTTGTTAAATTGGGTGAAAAAGTACATATTTTTATGTAGAAATCAAAGGAACAAAAATAGGGCGTGGTTGATAAAGTCTTCAAAAAAATGTAAATCACTCTCGATTATTTTCAAAAAAAAAATCTTTTTCTCATTTTCATTTCACTTTAACGATTATGAATATTGAAATTCAATTTTCGATAGATCTTCACTATTAAAAAGTGAGTTGATTTGTATATATGTTGAAAATCTTTCCTAATATAATAACAACTCAATAATGATAACAATCTATTTATACATTATACAAAATCCATAATAATATTTACCTTTCCTTAATACTATAACAGTTATTATTATCTAGATATTTGTTTATCACTGTCTATTCCATATCAATCGATAGATCTAACTAAGATCTATAATAATAGATCACCTTGTCAAGTAATTATATCAGTGGTTGAATATATGTTCAACTTCTTTGAATAAGTATCAATTTATCGATAAATAATTTTAAAAAACTCCCATTTCTATATCTTCCTATCAGATATTCTATTATTTTGGTTACAATTCAAAGGCAACTTAGTTTTTCAAAAAATTTCTTAAGATTTAGTCACCATTCGATTTTTGTCAAGAATATTTACTAAATTGAAGATAGTTCCCATAAGTCTTATATATTAATAGAGGATAACGTTTTGATCATTGTCTTAGAATGATCCCTAGATATAATTAGACCAATATTGATGCTTCTTAA